GGGAGGGGGGTGGGGTGGGACGGCGCGCGGCCTCGGTGCTGGCGGGACAGGGCCACGGCAGTGCGGTGTCTTCCGCCCGTCTGCAGCCGTCTGCAAATTGTTTCTTTCTTTTTTGCAATTTTGAACATTTTGCAAAACCAGGGTTCAAGGCAGGTGAGAGCATCCTGCTCGTGGCCGAGTAGCCCACAGGCACTTGGTGCGCTCTCCGGAGACCGTCTGCACTGGGAACCCGAAAGTTTTTTGTTTTTTATTTTCTTACTCAGATGTATTTATAAAGATTTGATTTTTTTTTCTTCCCTTGTCTCCACCGCCTTGAAAGAGAGTACTTTTGGCAAAGGACGGAAGAAAAAGCTCAGCAACATTTTGGGGGCAGTATTTTTTTTTTTTTTTAAGAAAAATATTTGAGTGCATCGCGACGAAGAAAATGTCCCGACCGCTCCCCCTGAATCCCACCTTTATCCCGCCTCCCTACGGCGTGCTCAGGTCCTTGCTGGAGAACCCGCTGAAGCTCCCCCTTCATCACGAAGACGGTGAGCGCTGCCCTCCTGGCTGCCCCGCTCTGGGAAGGGATCTTGGGATCCCTCCTTTGCCAGGCACCCACACTGGCTTGCTGGAGCATTCATCTCTGTCCCCCTGGCCCTGCTTTGATGAAATAGAGGAGCTCACCCATCACCCCACCCCTCCTCTTCCTCAAAAAGGGGGGACGCCCTCTCTGAGCAGCGTTTAAAATAACGCTGGGAACCCGGCCCAGCCCCCCGGCGTCTAGCTCCCGCGGCACAGGTGGGAGATATGACTTGACAGGTCGTTTCCTAGATTAAGGCTTTATCCGCCCGCCGAGTGAAACCGCCTGCGCGAGGGGAGAGCTTCGCGGGCTTGGGAGGAGAAACGAGAAGGCTTGCTTCCCATACGGGTGGGGGCCTGTTGTGGGGGATCTCACTGCCCGGGCTGGGTATTGGGATCGTACTGTTGTTTCTGTTATTGATGAGTATTTGGAACTCACGAGGTGTGAGCGGAGACGCATGTTCTCCAGTGAAGGGTAATTCAGAAAGGGGGGTGAGGGCTGGGGCCGGCGGGGTGGAGGGAGTGGTCTCTCGGCGGGAAGCCGTGCACGCCTCCAGCGCTGACACTTTCCCCGTGCACTTTCCTGGTGGGAGGGGAGAGAGGAGCAGGCTCACGTGTAACCCGCGCAGGAGCCTCCTCTGGCTTGAGCCTTTTCTTGGTAAGTCCCAAACCTTCCCGAGACAACCTTGGCTGGAGCAGGACAGGAGGGGTCGTGCGAGGAGGCGCAAGACTTAGCTGGTGCCTCCAGGGATGTCATTTGGGGTTTTGTGATTTCTATCTCACAGCAAATACGGACCGTGCGGTTCATGGTGTAAAGTCTTGGAAGCTCATTTGGCTCCAAATAGCTCGGGTGTTCTCCTGTCTTCTTTCCTAGCAGGGGCCAACCTGTTGCATTGCAAGAGTTGAGGGCTTTGGTTCTTAATCTGCAGAGCAGAGCTTCCTTCTTAATTCTCCTTTAAGGAGTAGCACTTGGGAGGAAGGTGCTGCCTGCAGTCTTTTGCATCTGTGGGTGTTTTAAGTCAGATTCCTAGGAGATGAGACTGTAGAGGATTAGAATGGATGGCAGTGGAGGCTGTGATTCTCTGAGGAAGAAACTCAGAAACCAAATTCCTTAATCCCAGATTGCACTGGCGCCTGAGTACTAGACTGGCAAAATTGAGAGCGCTGGTTAAAGACCTCACTGGCTGGGCAATACTTCCAGGTAAAAATAGCTGCATACATTCTTCATAGGTATGTAGACTAACCACCTTTTCCATTAGCTATGCTTTTGACAGGTTACATACATTGTGTAATTTTTGTGAATCGGATTGGGAGAAGGGGAGGAAGATAACACTTTGTATTTAAAAAAAAAAAACTTTTGCAAAATACAGTGTAGCGCAGGGGCTTTAGAAGCAAACACATGTGGGCTCAGGAAATTGTTTTCTCTGCCAATAGGAGACAAGGTCCTTCAAAGCACAGAGCTTCCATTTCTTCACTGGAAATGGAGCTAATTGCTATTTGTAGGTTGATTATGAGATTTTTGGAGATAATGTATGGAAAAAACTAGAAATATAGTAGATGCTCAATACATGGTTTCAAAGAAGGTTGAAGAGTTCCTACTTTGCCAAAATTAGAATCACCAACTTACTGGCTTTCCAAGTCTGAATGACTTCATATTGTTACTGTAATGAACTTCCTGGATGCCAAATCATGCCTGGTTTTTGCCTGTTTTCTTAAAAATCACAGCAATTGAATGTAATTGCAGGTGTTATTTTCCCAGTGTATATTAAATTATTTGTCTCCTCAAATAATGCCCTGAATTTTGTGCTCTCTTGTTTATACCCTAGATTGGTCTGTAGCCCCGTCCCAAGGACTAGTGCTTGCTTTCCAAAGTAAATAGGAAGATGGTAAAAAAAACAGGCAGAGATCCATGTCCTGCCTGAACTTTTAACTCTAGATCCACAAGAGCCAGCAGCCAGAGAAGAACCCTGGCATTTGTGACAAGTAGTTTTATAGCAGCGGCCAGGAGGAATGGTAAAAAAGTGACACTTTTTATTTTTTAAAGTCCAACTTTTCCTCTTCTCCTGCAGCATTTAATAAAGATAAAGACAAGGAAAAGAAGCTGGATGATGAGAGTACTAGCCCGGCAGTCCCCCAGTCGGCGTTCTTGGGACCCACGCTATGGGACAAAACTCTTCCTTATGATGGAGATACTTTCCAGTTGGAATACATGGACCTGGAGGAGTTTTTGTCGGAAAATGGCATCCCCCCTAGCCCTCAGCATGACCACAGCCCTCACCCTCCCGGGCTGCAGCCAGCTTCCTCAGCTGCCCCCTCCGTCATGGACCTCAGCAGTCGGGCCTCTGCACCCATTCACCCTGGCATCCCGTCCCCGAACTGTATGCAGAGCCCCATCAGACCAGGTAAACTCTTGGAAAGCCTCTCCCTCCAGATAGGGAGGAGGGTGAAATGGAGGGCCAGGGTGGAGGTGGCATAAAGGTCTTAATCGGAGGACTTTAGCTCACTGTAAAAGAGGAATCTTGTATCTCACTCACAGCACTGGTTGTCTCACTGCAGCGAGCATCAGTATCACCTGGGGAGTCAGCTAAATGCCGACTCTATGGACCTACCCTAGAAATTCTTCTCAGGTCTGGGGCGAGGGCCCAGAAATATGCGTTTTTAACCAGCCACCTGAAAGCTGATTCAAGGACTTCAGTTTAAGAAATACCAACCTACAGTAAATGATTCGGATAATTCAGGCATCCGTCTCATCTCCTGTCTCTTTTCCACATTCCCCAAATACACAGATCATAGGATCTTGCTGAATGTTTTGGGTAGACTCTCTAAGGCTGTGGTTTACCTGCATTCATTCTCCTCTGGCCTAAACGAAAAAAAAAAAAGTTAGGGGTGTGGGGCAGATACTTTTTTCTTCTTTTCATCTTGTGTTGTCGCTGATTGAGAAACGGAATATAAAAACAGCTCTCATATTAAGCATGGCTTAGCCTTTTTCAGCACTAGACCCCCTATTTCTCTCTTCAGTAGTCCTACACACCAAATTGTTCTTACATTTCTTTTTTTCATTTTCATCTGTCCATCACACTTAATCCATTTTTATCAAAGCCTTCAAGGTCACAAGGTCAGCTGTAAATGGTGTCGAAATATTACAGAAAAACATCACCTGAAATGACCAGTACTTCAAAACTCACTGCTAAATGCTCAGATATACACACAAGTTGAGGCGGCTCTGGCTTCATGCCTTTAGCACCCTGTAGTACAGTACAAAACGAACGGGAAGAAAGGCCATTTTATGTGCCCAGGTAACCAGGAACAAAGATTCACAGGTAAATTGTCGGGAAGGTCACAGAGCTGAGGCCTTTAGCTGCAGGGGAAGACAGAAAGCAGGACAATGGGAGACTTGTGCCAGAGATCATTCCTGAACTCTGTGTCCTCAACTCGTGTAGAATTTCTGTGACACACAGAGCAAGATTAAAATGGAAGGAAATGATGCAAAGGAGGAAGAGGATACCCCTGCCTTGATATATTAATATTGGAGTTCAAGTTCTCTCATGCAAATCTCTCTTTGCTGGCCCCTTCTCTAAAATCTACTTTGAACTATAAGTCAGGACTACTGGCTGGAATGGAATGAAGTCCTAACCTCTGACCGCCCCAGGAGGCTTCAGAAGCTTGAGAAAACACTCTTTTATGTGAACCTAAGCCCCTATTCCTTAGAAGGTATAGTGCCATTGTCTTCAATTTCTGCCCAGGAACAGACAACCAGCAAAGTAAATAACGTTCGAAATGGAAAATAACCAGGGAGAAGGGGACAGAGACCCAGTGAGAAGGCACAGTTACGCCTTAGTCATTCTGCCCTGCAGAATGAGACCTACCACTTGGTAGCTGGGTGACTTTATAAAGTGACAACCTCCTGGAGCCTCAGTTTCCCTTTCTGTAGAATGGTATAAGTTCTATTTGATTGGGTTATTGTGAAAGTTAGAGATATTACGTATAAAGGGTCAATTGACTAACGCTATTTTATTAATGAGAGCAGTTACGATTATTGTTATATCTTTGTCAACTTTTGTCATTTATTTCACTCCCTCTCTTCTGAACTACCTTCTTAAAGTCATTAGGTACAGTATATAACTTCTTAAGACAGCTATCAGGAGATTGGGACCAATAGTTATTGGGTTGGAGTGTTTTAACCCTAACATGACCAATTGACAGGTACTTCTCAATCCTCTGCCAAATACATAATATACCACATTAGAAATAATGTATTCTGTCCCAGGAGGCATGCAAATATCGAGTCCCCCACACCTCAGTTCCTATTGAGAATCAACAATCAAGGTTTGGGGATCTGAGGTTTCCTTAAAAGTCATTCATCAGAGCTCATTAGAATCAGTATTCATCAGTGACTCTCAGTAACTTGAGATGCCTCAATCATGTTTGCAATCCACAGCAAAGGACTCCTGAGTTTCAGTGGATGTCAATTGTTAGGTTGTGGAGGAAAGAAAGGCACTAGGATCTAAGGGGACACTGGGATCTAGACATAAAGAAGATAAAAAGAAAAGAAAAAATAGGCATAAACTATTTGAATGTTTTTTTCGATAATGGACATGCACTTCAAAATAGTCTTCTTTGAATTGAAAAAGATACTCCTAACGAAAAAAGGAAGACGGCGAAAGCTCTTCTTTACATACCAAATGTAGACAAAACAATCCTCTGCTGTTTATACAATGTTGGTCATTATAAAGATTATAATATAAAATAAAATTCTAGGGGATGTGGACTCGATGGATGGTCTATCACAAGCAAACCTGAAAAAGGAAAAAGTCCTTGATTGTTCTATGTAATCACAGTGGTGACCAGAATAGAAATACCAAGTTAATCTTGAGGAAAACTAGTCCTCAGAAGGGAAGAGCACAAATGTAGCCTCGAGCATTCTGGGAATCGTGTAGTTTCAGTCTAGATCAGGATTTCACAACCTTGGCAGTATTGATATTTCAGGTAAATCTTTGTTGTGGGGACTGTTCTGTGCATTTAGAAGTTTAACAGCATTAGTGCATGCGCACGCACGCACACACACACACACACACACACTTGTTCTGTGCATTTAGAAGTTTAACAGCATTAGCGCGTGCGCGCGCGCGCACGCACGCACGCACGCGCACACACACACACACACACACACACACACACACAGTTTAGCTGTGACAAGTAAAAATGAGTCCAGTCGCTGCCCCATGTCCCCTGGGGGCAAAATCATCCCTATTGAGAACTACTGATGTAGACTTTCAAATTGGACAGCAAAATAGTGGGCTTAATTCAGGATCCTGTCACACACATAGATGCTTTTTACCTCTTGTAATGCTCTATGGCAGAATGTTCGAGAATGTCAGGAGACATTAGGTTGTCAAGAAGAAATATAATGGTAATAAGAACATAGTTATACATTTTCAGTTGGTAAAACTGAAAATTATCAGGTTAAGCAGATAATTGCAGAGTAATTTTATTAAACATTTATTTTCTGCTATTTGCATCTTTCAAATTTTGCTTAGTAATATTGTGTTATTAGTGCTACCTGTCTGGTTGAAAGGACACAAAGCCACAAGGTGACACATTATGCATTTCTAGGTCTGTCCAAGACATGTCTTAGTATGATAAGGTGAGCATCCTTGTGAATTCTCGTACTGTTTACCATCAGTGCCCCAAACCTCCTTTTCTATTTTGTGCACCAATCCTTACTCTTCTGTCTGGCTGTCTGATCAAAGAATGAATCAAATATCTGAATATACTTTCCTTGATAAAATAACTCAGGGATCCTTTGAAACTTCCTGTGGCTATGGGGTGATTACTAAGCTTTCTGGGCTGACATCTCAGTGAAGAGAGAAGACGGATAGTTAGTTCCTGGATGCTACAGCCACCTGCTTGGTTGGGCTGCTTAGTCACCTGAGGGGCAGCGTCCTGGATGCAGAGGTGCAGGAGTCATCCTGACCGCTTCAGTGCTTGCATTTCAGATGCTTTCAGAGGTGGTACTTGGGAGCGCTCTCCTGGAAGGACGGACTGGGTGCTGGAAAAATAAGAATCTGTTTGCCCTGAGAATTGAGCAATTGCTTTAAGGACAGCAGTCCCTTTAGGGAAAGTCATCTATAGCAGACAAAGGCAGAGTTATTTTTAAATCACATGCTTGTAAAGCCAGAGTTGAAAACGTTTCCTCTGGTGGTTTTTCTTTGAGTAGCTTGGGGGTGTCCTAGCACTGCTAGACCCATATTCAGCTGAGAATTAAGAAGGCTCTCTCTGCAGGTCTGAGCACAGAGACCGGGTTAGGAAGAAGGCTGGTTACAGAATGAAGCGCAAGCCTTCCATTGTGGTGTGTGGGAACAGGAGCGCATCAGTGGGTGGCACAAGAAGAGCAGAGAGCTGGGGGAGAACCCTTTGTACCTTTGCACGATGGAATCGGTATTTTGTTTCTGTTGACCTTCCCTCGTGATAGGTTGTGGTGTGGAGGGAAGACGCTGGCCGTGTCATCTGAGTAATGACGGAGGGGAGTTCTGTGCTCGTGGTTCTGGGGTTATGGGAGGTCCTGCTGAGACACCAGCATTCTTTCGCCTTTCCCAGCCTCATGAGATGAAGCTTCAGTTTCTCCCTCCCCTTCAGGACAGGCAGTTCATATATTTTCCCATCCAGCATATTGATATGTCTGTCGGTTGAGAGCGCCATGATTGATAGTTACGATACACTGTGCCTCAAGCATTTTGGAAATGAATCAGGATCAGGATCAAGGGGAGAGTGTCAGCTTTGTTTTAGAGGCAGGAAGACTTTTTTCTGTTTCTCGTAAGAGTTTATCTTCTCCACCACGCCTTGCAGAGAACAGCCTAAGGATTGATATGGAAAGCAAGGCAGGCGACTTGGTGGTTAAGAGCATATACCCTAGACCCAGAGTTCACTTCCTGGACCCACATTGGCTGGCTTCGTGTACTAATCAGTAAAATGGAGACTATAAATAGTCCCCCTGCCATGGGGTTTTAGCAGAGTTAAATAAGATAGCACGTGACAGAGGACGGCACATCGTGGGGCACATGAATCCTTAGTGCCTGAAACTGGTATGATGCCAGTGGCATGGGAGTAGGGAAAAGACGACTCTATTCCTGACCCCCGTTCTTCATTTGGGATTTATTTCATCCAGTCCGTGTCCCTCTTCAAAAATAGGGCATGCATTTTCTTCCCGGCATGCCCGGTCCTTATTCTCTATAGCCTGCCTGACTTTTCTCTTTCCTTCTGGGTTAGGACAAGGCCCTTCCCTGATGTTAACCCAACAGCATCGCTTCTGGGTTTGCGCCTCCTGTTCTGCCAGTGTGGAGACAGCCACTCGCACTGCTCGCTGGGTGCCCAGGCCCCACCCCCGCTCCAGCTCTCGTGTGAG